TTGTTCATCTCCTTTTTAAAATTTAGTCACTTCCTTCCTTCATGAGTGAGAGAGACAGTGACAGAGAGAGAAAAGGAGAGAGAGAGAGATAACTGAAACAGTCCCCATGGAATCCACCCCAGTTCAAATCAATTCTGGACCACAGGCACGTGTTTCCATCATGTACAGCGAAGTCTCCAGTCATAAATCTAGAACCTTCCCATGTCAGTCACTTGGCAGTGAGTGATATTACTGCTGTACCACTATCTGGCCCCTAATCTTCATTTTTGAAAAATATTTTTGATTGATATAGATTATGTTTATACTTTTACTAGTTTGCAAGACATAATCTCATTGTCTTGTGGTTTAGGTATTAGGTTGTTGGGAAAGTCGTGATGCATTTTTTGTGTAGAAAAACATAGAAAAATACTTCATGACTTTCCTGATATCATAATAGTTTCTGGGAGAGGTATATGAACAGTCTTACTTTTGTCTCTCTTTGTATCTTTTCTCCAGCTCTTGTAAAACATTGTCTTTGTCATTTGATTTTAGCAGTTGATTTTGATGCACTTTGGTGTAAATATGTGTGGGTGCACTCACACATGTGTATATTTATTTATCCTGCTTGTGGTTTGTTTAGTTTCTTGGATCTGTGAGTTTGCAGTTTTGGTAAAATCTGGAAAATGTACAGACATTATTTTTCCAACATTTGTTTTTTTCCCTTTCCCATCATTGTTCTGGGACACTGTGTTGTTGGAAAGCTTGTAGGCCCATAGGTGAATTGATTATTTATTATTTTTTTCTCCCAGTCTTTCTTCTGTTCTTTATTTGAGATGCACTTTATTGCCATGTTCAAGTGAACTGGTCTTTCCCTCTTTATATTATCTAATTTTATTTTTTTACTGCTAGTACATACACAAATGCATGGGTATGTACAAGTGAAGTGCTCTTGACACGGTCTCGGCATGAAGCTATTCCCTTTCCCCAGCCCTCCAGTTCCTCATAAGTCTGGGCACTTGAACTCAACCCCAGCGTGTTTCAAGCAGACCTAAAGGATCTGAACCCACATTCAGCCTTGCAGGGCACTTGCTTTATTGCTGTGGCATGATGGCTGGGCCTAATCTTTTAATCTCATCCAGTGAAATTTTCATTTCAGATAATATAATTTTTATGTTTAGAAGTGCTGTTTGTTTTTTTAATATGATTTTTTATGTTTTATTTCCCATGTTATTTTACGTAGTTTCAATAACTGTTTTCATGTTTTTTTTTTTTTTTTGCTACTTCTGCCAATTTTGGCATTTTGGGATCTCTATAATTTCTTTTCATGTGGTGGTATTTTTTTTTTTTTTTTTTTTTTTTTGACATGGGTGTGTGCACTCACTGGAGAGAGAAAGGGAAAGTGAGAATTCATCCCTCAGTAGGGACGGCCATGCCTCAATCCCTTATCCTCCATTTTCCTCTTGGGATTTAGGGCATGCATGCACTCATGGCTGGCATGATTTTCAAGCTACTTGGTCTGGGACTGAAACTTTGATTGGCCACATGGGAGTCTAGTACCTTAACTACCATATTACCTGCTGTCCCAATTGTTTGGTTCTTATTTCTAGTAATTTTTGATTGGATGATGGACATTATAATATGTTGATGAAGATCTTGATTGGAGGACCTTATTTTTTATTACCAAGTATTGGACATTTTTAGGGCAAATAAGTTGTAGATCACTTTGATCTCTTCAAACCCTACTTCTAAGGTCTTTTAGGCCCTTCATTCTAGGGGCAGTTTAGCTTTCTAAGTAAGAATTGATTCCTCTGTAATCTGCTCTGAATAATTCAAGTCCTTAAGACTCCTTCACTTTGGCTATTCAGGGTTTGAGTTTATCTTCGTCTGAGCTCCTTGAAGTGTTCATATTACACCTCCCCAGTTGATCTCTTTCTCCTTCCCTTCATTCATTTCTTCTTTCTTTTTGCCTATCTATTTGGAATTTCACTTTTCCCATATCTAGCCTATTATTACTCAGCAAAGTCTCAAGGGAACCCCTGTGTAGATTTCTCTAGAAGTATTTCTGCAATGCTTTCTTTTGGGGAAGATTTTTGCTCACAAGTTATCACAACTCTTTGACCTACTATCTTTGATTTTTTTTTTTTTTTAATGTCTGCAAGGCTATAGGAGTGTTTGAATTTTTTCTGACTGTGTCTACAATCTAGAAATCATTGTCAGATAAATAAGCCAGATGATTATTAAACTCGCCTTGTTTGTTTCTCCTTTTTCAGAGAGCAGAATTGTGTTGCCTGATGTCCAATGTGTGAAAACACTTGCTCTGTGTGTGTATAAAATTTAAAAATTTTCTTTATTTGCTAGAGGGTTTGTGTGCTTGAGGGCAATAAGGAAGAAAGCATTCCCCCCCCCCCATAGGAAATGACCATGCTGCAATTCTTTTTCTTCTGTTGCTCCTTTCTTCTGGGATTTTGGGCGTGCACATCCACATGTCTGACATGTTTTTTAAGACACCTGGTATAAGACATGAACCACAGGGTTCATGTGGGATCCAGCTGCTTTAACCACTGCTGGCCCAGTTGTAATATATTTTAGCCACCATTCCACTTGCTTACAAAATAGGAGGCCAGATCTATTCCTTATTACAGCTTCATGGCTGGAAGCCTAGTTTTTTTATTTGAAATTATAAATACTGATTATCCTATTGGAGTTTATGTTCCCTTAGGGAAGCATTGGACCATCATTTTCTCTCTAGTACATGAAAGGGATTAAATATTTGTTCATGATGCTCTTTGATTAATAAAGGTACTAATATTTTCTTGTGGTGAAAAATATTTCATGTTTGTTCATACTGTGAATTTTAAAAAAATTCTTATAGATAGTGGTGGGTCACTCTTAAGGATCACTTAATGGATTTAAAAAATGTTCTTTTGATACAGTGAATGTGCCATAGTGCACAATAACAGTGGATATTGTTGAATGAATAAATATTATTGGTAACTAAAAAAAAAACAAAAACAAAAAACAACCTTTTGAGAGAGTTTCATGCCATCGCAAGAAAATACCAAAGATATATTTGCTTGCAATCAACATTCCTCTTCTCATGATACCATTCAGTCATGTCTAAGTTATTTTATCTTAGTTATTCAGTTTATAGGAGTATTTAGACATCTTTTCTTGTCTTCTTTCCTTTTATTTCCTACTTCTGTTTCTTTTATGTCTGCTTATATTTTTATTAGAGAGTCTGCATGGAGAGAGGGAAGAGGGTAAGTACATATGCAAATGAAACTAAGAAATTTGGCTTTTGATTGACTTTTAGTAATGTTGGGAGGTGTTTGAACATAACATTAAAATCTAGTTTTGAGGGACCAGTAGATGGCATAATGGTTGCGTTGCTGGATCCCACGAAGTTGACCCTGGTTTCAGTACTGGACTCAGTGGCTTAAATCTGATGTTGGGTGCATGCGCATGCATGCCCTAAATCCCGAGAGGAGAATGGAGGAATAGGGATTGCAGCATGGCCATCCCCCCCCCGGAGGGTGATTTCTTGCTTTCTGTCTCTCTGTCTCTGTTTGTCTCTCTGGTAAGCACACCCACCCATAGCAAAAATCTCTCTCTAAAAAAAAGAAAATCTTGTTTAGAATTTATGTGGCCACTAGAACCAGAGTTTTTTCTTTTGGTGTCTGTTGCACAGGTGTTTAATTGACTACTGTTATTTAACTTGTCATTGATATGGAAATACACTAAAAATTTGAATAATTTTTTGATCTGGTATAGTTGGAATATGAGTATACTAGGGAAGGGACAATGGGGCTATAAGGTGACATTCTTTATTGTAAGAAATTACTGGGTTTTGTACTAATTAGCCTTGAAAAATATAGAGCTGACAGACCAGGACAGACCAGATGTTTTCAGCATGAGCCACGTGTCTCATCAACAAATGTGCCTTGTGTCTGCAGGCAACATTGTTGGATTTTTCTCATTGTATAAACAATGTTCCAAAATATAACTAAACCCCAAAGGGTGTTTATCTTTCTGGCTTAATTTCTGGCTTTCTATCCATTCTAAAGTTTCTCTCTAGAGGAACTGCATTTTATTACACATAGCTCTTCATACCTAATTGCAGAATAAACACCATTCTGTTTATACTAAGCCATGTGAATTGTATTCTTTTTGAGTCTGTAGAATTTTAATAAAAGCAACGATCTCAGATTTAACTATATTTGTACTTTCATTTCTAAATTTAGGGAGAATAAACCTCTCTTCCCTCCATTTATTTGGACTAAGATTTTAAGTTTTAGAATACATGAGGGAAAACATGAAAAAATGAAACAAGTAAAACCAGTCTCTAGATTTTAGTGTTTGTAGTACTCAGTGCATTGGAGCAAAAAGAGCTTAAATATCTGCTGTGAAAATTATCCTGGATGTCCAAAGTAGGACTTCTTTATAGGAATGGAATTTAACTTTATTTACACTAACTATGTCAAGGGAAATGTGAAAATTAGGAAAATAAAAGCACAAAGAAGAAAATTATCATTCATAATATTGTTGTCCAAAGGGAAAAAATATGGTTAACAGTTTTATAAGCATTTTTCTGTGCACTCGTGCATTTAGTGATGTATGTCTAATAGATGCATACATATTCATAATTTATACATATAAACATATTTATAATTTTTATTTTTAGATTTTTGTTCCAGAGAGTGTGTGCTTGCTGGAGAGAGACAGAGACAGAGAGACTGATAGTGAGAAATCACCCCTCCCCCCCTGGGGATGGCCAAGCCTGCAATACTTTCTCCTCCATTCTCCTCTTGGGATTTTGGGCATGCATACACATGTGCTTGGTGTGTGGGTTTCAAGGGATGGATCTGGGACTCGAACCTGGTTGGCCATATGGGAGTCCAGCACCTTAACCACTACAATAGGAAGAGCCAACATGTGGGGGAAATGTACACTACACCACCTTCTGGCCCCATGTTTATAATTTTGGACAACATTATTATTACACCTGTAAGATCTATTTTTTAAAATGGTGTACCATTTCTGGAGGTATTGCAATGCCAGTAGATGAGTGGATTGGTGGAGCAAACTCTCATTCCATCTCCTTGCTTCTAAAAGCTATTTAATATATTATTATTTAATAGAGGACATATCAAATTAATATAATAAGGGCAGATACAACACTTGATCTTAGCCACAAGCCTGAGAAGCAATAGATCTGTTTTTTGAAATGATTTATTTATTTTCAAAATGATATATTTGTTTATTGAAATAATTTAACATGCTGCTATTTCATTAATTTACTACATTAATATATCATAATGCATTTAACAATGCCTTGTTATTAGACAGTGAGGTTAATTTTTTAGTGACTTTTTAAAAATAATGATTTATTTAATTTTATTTATTCATTCATTTATTTTAATTTGATTGGGGTCAGAGGAGTGAGAAAGCAAGCCATCAGGTCTGGGACTCAAACTGTGGTCAGCTGTGTGGGAGTGTCCGGTGATTTAACCAGCACATCACCTGTTGGTCCCCAAGGTTAATTTTTAAAAAAAATTTCTATTTTAAGGACCAGCAATTAGCTTAATGGCTATGTCGCTGGACTCCCACGGAGTCGACCGCAGTTCGAGTCCTGGACTCAGTGGCTTAAACTCACGCCGGGCGCATGTGCGTGTGTGCCCAAGATCCCGAGAGGAGAATGGAGGAGAAGGGATTACGGCATGGCTATCCCCTCTGGGGGGTGATTTCTCGCTTTCTATCTCTCTGTCTCTCTCTGTCTGTCTGGCGAGTGCACACACCCTATAGCAAAAACCTCTCTAAAAATTTTTTTTTTCTATTTTAAGTAACTCCGTATTTGAGGCTTATACATGTTTTTGCATATATTTTTTTGAAAATGCCATTATATAGAAGAGTTGCTTTGCTAAAATTCTTCATTGAAAGCTCATATCGTTAATAAAAATTTGTTTACCAGAGACTGTGCATTATCATTTACTGAAACTCTTCATAATAATTCATCTTCTCTTTTAAGAAATCTTTGGTAGTTTGAGTTACAAAATTATGTTTTTGACTTGCATTTGCTCACATATCAGTTCAACTTTTCTCCCACATGTTGACTTTTTTGTTCTTTTATGATTTTTCTTCTCTTTTTGTTTTAGTTTTTTGGGATAGAGCATGTGTGCATGCGAGAGAGAGAGAGAGAGAGAGAGAGAGAGAGAAGGAATGTGAGAAATCACTCCCAGCAGAACCTGGGCACTGGTGCATGTGCCTTATGTGTCTCATGCTGACCGGGCTAGGGATTTGAACCACAGTTGACAGACGGGATCCATTTTCTCTTGAGTAGCACATTATCATTGCACTGGGGAGCCAGGCCTTCATTTCTTTCTTTTAAAAAACAACTAGTTTATTACCTTTGTATATATAAGTTATAGATAATCCTTACCAGTTTATTTCCTCATTGTTCTTTTTTCTTAAGTGCCAGAGGGTGTATGTATAAGAGAGACTGGACCCTCAAATGGGTCCTGATCATGCTGCAATCCTACTTCCTCCAGTTCTCCATCCCATCAGAATTTTGGGCGCACCTATGCCCAGTGTGTTTTTCAGGCTGCTGTGGCTGGGATTTGAGCCCTAGTTGGTCATGTGAGATCCTGCTTCCTTTGTGTAGCTGTTAAATGCTGTGCTATAGAACTGGTTGTATTTCCTCTTTATTCTTACTATATTCTTTTAATGCATAACTTATTTTGACTTTACCTAGTCAACTTTATCAGTCTTAATTTTATTTGTTTTCCCATTTAAATATTATTATGAGAGGCCAGCAGGTGGCGTAGTGGTTAAGATGCTGAACTTCCACATGGCTGACCATGGTTCAAGTCCCTGACCTGGAGGCTTGGTTTCTCATGTTCCCTTTCTCTCTCTGTCTCTCTCTGGCCAAATTAAAAATAATAATAACAAATAAAATTTTTTAAAAATTGTGAATTATCTGTCTGTTTGCCAGCATTATTTCCTGTTTTGAAGTCTTTTGCAGCTCATAATAATATAGCCATTTCAACTCTTCTTTATTTTAATTGGCCAGAGGATGTGTGTCTTCACTAGATAGAGACACACAGAGAGAGAAAGAAAGTACTCCCATGAGGAATGGTCGTACCACAAGATCTTCTCCTCCATTTCTCCCACTTTTTGAGATTTTGGGCATACATGCATACGTGTCTAATGCGTTTGTTAAGCCACAGGTTTGGGACTTGAACTGCATAGTTGGCTTTGTGGAATCCAGCTCTCCCAACTACCAGGTTAGGGGCTTACCCCTGTTTCAACTCTTTTATAGTTACTTTTTGTATGGTACATCTTCCACCTTTTACTTTCAACCTATTTGTATCTTTGAATTTAAAGTGTGTTTCTTTTTTTGAGAAGTTTTTGCTGTAGGGAGCGTGTGCTTGCCAGAAAGACAGAGAGACAGAGAGATAGAAAGCGAGAAATCACCCCCCAGTGGGGATGGCCATGCCACAATCCCTTCTCCTCCATTCTCCTCTTGGGGTCTTGGGCACACATACACATGTGCCCAGCATGAGTTTAAGCCACCAGGTCTGGGACTCAAACCACGGTCAGCTACGTGGGAGCCCAGTGACATAGCCATTACACCATCTGCTGGTCCCCTAAAGTGTGTTTCTTATAGGCAGTATGTGATTGGCTTATACTTTTAAAATTCCATTTGATAGTGCCAGCAGGTGACGTGGTGGTTAAGGTGTTGGAGTCCCACATGACCCATCACGGTTTGAGTACAGGAGCTGGTAGCTTTCTTTCTTACTCTTTGATGAGAGCATGTACCTTATAGCAAATTAAACAATAATATTAATAAATAAAATTTAATAGTTCTTTAAAAAAATTCCATTTGACAATTTGTGCCTATTTAGTGGGATGTTTAGTCCATTCACATTTAATGTAATTATTGCCATAGGGTGGGCGCCACCATGCCCAATGTAATTATTGATATGGTTGGCTTTTGCTTTCTGTTTTCTGAATTTCACAGTCATTCTTATTCTCATCCCACCTTTAATGTCTTCTTTTGTGGTAAATATTTTGTACTATTTTGATTTCTTTGTTAATTTAAAAGAAAGTTTATTTCTTTCACAAAAGAGAGACAGAGATATAGAGATAGAAAGAGGTACCCCTGGTAGGGTTCACACACAGTATTCCGTTCCCAGCTTCCATTCCCTGGTCTGTGACCCATATCACGGACACAAAGATGTGCCTTGTATGATCAGAGAGGTCCAGGGATGTGAACTCAGGACTTCTCCCACGTGGATCTTGTTATGTTACTACCGTACCACAGTGTGATTTCGACTTTTGCTAACATTTGTTTTATTTTATTGTTTTTCTTTTTAGAGATTTTATAAAAAAGAAGAGGGTGTATGTATAAGAGAGACTGGACCCTCAAATGGGTCCTGATCATGCTGCAATCCTACTTCCTCCAGTTCTCCATCCCATCAGAATTTTGGGCGCACCTATGCCCAGTGTGTTTTTCAGGCTGCTGTGGCTGGGATTTGAGCCCTAGTTGGTCATGTGAGATCCTGCTTCCTTTGTGTAGCTGTTAAATGCTGTGCTATAGAACTGGTTGTATTTCCTCTTTATTCTTACTATATTCTTTTAATGCATAACTTATTTTGACTTTACCTAGTCAACTTTATCAGTCTTAATTTTATTTGTTTTCCCATTTAAATATTATTATGAGAGGCCAGCAGGTGGCGTAGTGGTTAAGATGCTGAACTTCCACATGGCTGACCATGGTTCAAGTCCCTGACCTGGAGGCTTGGTTTCTCATGTTCCCTTTCTCTCTCTGTCTCTCTCTGGCCAAATTAAAAATAATAATAACAAATAAAATTTTTTAAAAATTGTGAATTATCTGTCTGTTTGCCAGCATTATTTCCTGTTTTGAAGTCTTTTGCAGCTCATAATAATATAGCCATTTCAACTCTTCTTTATTTTAATTGGCCAGAGGATGTGTGTCTTCACTAGATAGAGACACACAGAGAGAGAAAGAAAGTACTCCCATGAGGAATGGTCGTACCACAAGATCTTCTCCTCCATTTCTCCCACTTTTTGAGATTTTGGGCATACATGCATACGTGTCTAATGCGTTTGTTAAGCCACAGGTTTGGGACTTGAACTGCATAGTTGGCTTTGTGGAATCCAGCTCTCCCAACTACCAGGTTAGGGGCTTACCCCTGTTTCAACTCTTTTATAGTTACTTTTTGTATGGTACATCTTCCACCTTTTACTTTCAACCTATTTGTATCTTTGAATTTAAAGTGTGTTTCTTTTTTTGAGAAGTTTTTGCTGTAGGGAGCGTGTGCTTGCCAGAAAGACAGAGAGACAGAGAGATAGAAAGCGAGAAATCACCCCCCAGTGGGGATGGCCATGCCACAATCCCTTCTCCTCCATTCTCCTCTTGGGGTCTTGGGCACACATACACATGTGCCCAGCATGAGTTTAAGCCACCAGGTCTGGGACTCAAACCACGGTCAGCTACGTGGGAGCCCAGTGACATAGCCATTACACCATCTGCTGGTCCCCTAAAGTGTGTTTCTTATAGGCAGTATGTGATTGGCTTATACTTTTAAAATTCCATTTGATAGTGCCAGCAGGTGACGTGGTGGTTAAGGTGTTGGAGTCCCACATGACCCATCACGGTTTGAGTACAGGAGCTGGTAGCTTTCTTTCTTACTCTTTGATGAGAGCATGTACCTTATAGCAAATTAAACAATAATATTAATAAATAAAATTTAATAGTTCTTTAAAAAAATTCCATTTGACAATTTGTGCCTATTTAGTGGGATGTTTAGTCCATTCACATTTAATGTAATTATTGCCATAGGGTGGGCGCCACCATGCCCAATGTAATTATTGATATGGTTGGCTTTTGCTTTCTGTTTTCTGAATTTCACAGTCATTCTTATTCTCATCCCACCTTTAATGTCTTCTTTTGTGGTAAATATTTTGTACTATTTTGATTTCTTTGTTAATTTAAAAGAAAGTTTATTTCTTTCACAAAAGAGAGACAGAGATATAGAGATAGAAAGAGGTACCCCTGGTAGGGTTCACACACAGTATTCCGTTCCCAGCTTCCATTCCCTGGTCTGTGACCCATATCACGGACACAAAGATGTGCCTTGTATGATCAGAGAGGTCCAGGGATGTGAACTCAGGACTTCTCCCACGTGGATCTTGTTATGTTACTACCGTACCACAGTGTGATTTCGACTTTTGCTAACATTTGTTTTATTTTATTGTTTTTCTTTTTAGAGATTTTATAAAAAAGAATTACTTCATTTAACTTTGTTTATTTATTTGTTTTAATATGACCAGAGAGAGATAGAGCGAGAATGAGAGAGAGAGAGAGAGAGAGAGAGAGAAAAGCTGCCAGGTCTGGGACTTGACCCATGTTTGGCCATGTGGGAGTCTATATATATATATATATATA